TCGAACTGACTTAATTGATGGTGCAGCTTCCAGTGATAATCCTGTTTCCAACAATAGCTRAMCCWYATYCATTGTCATGTCACAGGCAAAGAGTGCAGTTGATGACCGCATTACAGACMCTTTCAGMAAGAAGGACTTTTCTGTTGACGGACAAAATATTAATTTGTAGCGTTTTTTTAATTAGGCTATTTATAGAGGGTGACTGCGTACCGCATGCGTATCGAACTGACTTAGGCTGTTTATAGAGCGTGAATGCGTACCGAATGCGTGTCGAACTGACTTAGGCCGTTTATATAGGGTGGGCTGAATGTCTACGGAGTGGATCGAATGCTTATCGAACTGATATAGGCTATTTATATACGGTGAGTGCGTATCGAATATGTATCGAATTGTTAATTTTACCATAACTTGTAGAATTCTCGCGCGCTGATTGGTCGAGAGCCGTTGTCGATCACAGGACAGACCGATGAAAATGATGAATCGCTCGCGCACGGAGGCAGCGCGCGCTAGAAACGGTTTTGTTTGGAAAGGTTACTTTGTTTTCGGCTTTGTTATGGTAAATTCAAGAAATATAAAACGTCGCGCGTGTCTCTGTCATCTGATATAAACACGGTGGGAGTACAAAAAACACGAGAGAAGCAAGCTTAGGAACACGAGCGTAGCGAGTGTTTCTCTTGCTTCTCGAGTGTTTTTCAACTCCCACCGTGTTTATATCAGAGGACAGAGACACAAGCGGCCGTTTTATATTTCTTTTACAAAATTTTTCGAACGAAAAGAAAATTTTGCCGGTAAGCCGTGTCTCTGTCCTCTGATATAAACACGGTCGTCAGCCAATCAGAGCGCGCGTTATATATCAAAAATTTTATAATATCAAATCGAAATCGCTTTTGTATGGTCTGTACGCTTATCGACAATGAAAATGACGTCAGAAAATGATCAAAACTTGGCAGTGAAACCACTCGCTACGCTCGTGGTTCCACTTAGAGAAAACATAGCTCTTTCAACGTGACTTGAAAGAGTATTTGTAAACTAAATCGCTCAATCATTAGAGAGGATTTCGGATGAGTAGGAAACGGACGGTACTATACTGTGACCGTAATCGTACTGTAACCAAATTCTAGGGCCACATTGGTTCACCTAAATTGTGAAGGCCATGCAGGTCCGGTAACTGTGCGGGCCGTGCGGTAACGGTGTCCCAYTCATACGAAATCCGCTCTAACTCACACTATCTGACTCGCTACGGTTAATCATTAGTAATGCTTTTTTGACTATTAAACAAGATTATTTGACGTTATTGGACCGTTTTAAAGATCCCTTTCTATTAGACGGACATTTCTACTTGCGGACACTTTTCGTTTCCCTAGGGTGTCCGCTTACGGGATATTCGACTGTACTTCTTTTAATCATGCATTTTATTCATTTATAACTGCACTTATTAAAATGACGTGCGACATCTCTAGTAAAATATTAACAAATTATAGCTACGAATTTTAATTATTTAAAGATATTTTTAGTAGCTTAAAATGACGTGATCTCTTTACGGAATCGAATTGAAATGGCTGGATTTTTACTGTTTATTTTATTTTATTTTTTAACTTTTTTGTTATTTTTGCACTCGTGTGTYCTCGTGGTTATCCGTGTGTYYKCGTGKTCACTCGTGTGTACTTTTAGATCCTATCCCTCCAAATCCCCTACAGTAATTTCTGCTTCCGGCATCCATTAAGTTCAAAATCACAACCTTTGGTAACTTTGCTTTATCATATTGCATAGTGTCCGGAAATGGAGGCGATGTTCAGCTTGGATACCAGGATCGGAAAAGTGTATTCAGCAAGGGAATTTCAGGAAAAAAGGCCAAAGTTTTACCTAAAAGTCACTACTCTGGACAACAATGGTAGAAAACTATTTAACAAAGCAAAGGGTAAGCACCTGCGAAAATAATTAAGACAACTTAAGCCGGCATCACTATTGTTAGCGATAGACTAAGTAAGGCTAAAG